ACATTAAACCACCAACACGCATACGTTGAGCGAGGACGGAAGAAAATATTGCGGCTGTATCCGCCAGTGTTCGTGATGACCGTAAAATGTCGATTCGCCGCCGTTCGCAGCAATTGGGCCTCTGTTACTCCACTACGTTGAAAATTTTGCGAAAGGATTTGGTGTAAAACCTATAACAAACAGCTGGTGCAACAATTGAAGCCATTGAACCTCCGACAACGTCTAACATTTGGTGAATGGGCGCTGGCAAAGTTGGAGGAAGATCCACATTTTTATCGAAAAATTGTGTTCAGTGTCGAGGCTCATTTCTGGTTGAATGGATACGTTAACAAGCAAAAATGCCGCACCTGGAGTGAAGACCAGCCACAAGCATTGCAAGATCTACTGATGCATCCCGAAAAAGTCACTGTTTGGTGTGGATTATGGGTCGGTGGCATCATCGGGCAGTACTTCTTCGAAGACGACAATGGCCGGCGTTACTGTGAATGGGCGAGCGCTACCGTGTGATGATTGACGACTTTTTGTTGCCCAAAATGGAAGAATTGGGCATGCCTGATATGTGGTTTCAACAAGACGGTGCCACATGCCACACGGCACGCGAAACAATGGCCCAATTAACAGCCGCCTTCGGTGAACAGGTCATCTCACGTTTGGGGCCTGTCAATTGGCCGCCTAGATCGTGTGATTCAACGCCTTTGGATTATTTCTTGTGGGGTCATGTTAAGGCTCATGTCTACAGGAATAAACCAGCAAAGATTGACGCTTTGGAAGCCAATATTGAAGCATTCATACGTGAAATATCGGTCGATATGTTAGAGAGAGTGCCAAAATTGGACCTTGCGCGTGGGCCATATAAAACGGATCCGCAGACAACATTTGCATGAAATCATCTTCAAACATTAAATTATATTGATCGTCCTATCGATTCCAATGAAGATTTCATCAATTTTTTCAAATATTTTATGTTGTTTTAAAAATCAAATCCTATACCTCTTAAAAATCACCCGTTAATAGAAATGAGATACATGTTTTCGAATGAAAATTAGAAAGATATCCCGAAAAAGCTCCATCGATATTGTTCCATGTTTTGTGGTAGGCTCATTTCGATTATTATTCATCTGTAGTTCTTATTCATCTTGCGGAAACTTTACCAAGAGTTGTCCATCTTCGGACGCAAAATTAACACTGAAATCTCCTGCTAAAATTAGTGGCAACATATGGTAGTTTTCTCCTTATTCTTCTGAGCCTACTCGATCATAAATGTGTGTTCGCACCTATTTCTCTTGTCCCTACAATAATATACAAATTGTAACTCTCTCTCTTTCTATCTTCACTAACTTCGCTTGATCAAACTTTTCTTAGCGTTCTCGTCACGCATTCACCAGCATACTCCCCCAAGTCAAGGGCGCGTAAAGGAGTTTTACTTAAAAAATGTGGACAATAATAATTTCGAACTACGCTTCTTTAAAGCTCTGAAGCGATAAAAGAAATTGCGTAATATCAACGAAGACATAGATTTTACTTTTTATTGTCCTGCAGATTTACCTTTCGAACCTTATTTTCTGGACGGAATTTCAATAAACCAATTTTTGTTCATCCAAAACGAATATTACTGGAGTTTTTTCCCAACACCAAATCGTTATTTTTACACCTCGACACGTGTTTCGATCACCAAGTGATCATCTTCAAGAGGAAGATAAAACTAATAACTACTCAAAACTAAAGCTACTTATACTAATCGGGTACATCATACAGGTAGGTAATCAGTAATACCACCCATACAAGTGTACCACCCTAAATTAATTTTACAATTGGCCTTTCTATTATTTA